CACGTAGTTGACCATGGTTTGAGTCCCGGACCTGGTGGCTTAAAGTCATGCCAGGCACATGTGCGCGCATGCCCAAGATCCCGAGAGGAGAATGGAGAAGGGATTGTCTCCCTGTCTTTCTTTCTGGCGAGTGTATATGTCCTGTAGCAAAAACCTCTCCAAAAAAAAAAATTTTTTTTTCTCATTGTTGGAATGTTAGATACATGAGGGCAGAATCTTATCAGCCTTATTTAATGGCATATCTAAAGTATGTACCCAAGTATAAACAGAACATTCAGCCTATTAATGCATAATTGAAAAGCTCTGATTGTGAAACTAATTACAGAACAGTAGCCAGTACACAGTAAATTCTCAATAAGTCCTTGTAGGAAAAAAATGAATATCTATTGTAAAAAACATTAGTGCATTTATTTACAGTACATACTGAGTTAGTGGATACATTATACAAACAGGTAATATCTTCACTTTTAGGCAATCACTGGTGGATAAAGAGTATGATACAATAAAGCAAAGAACAAACTGTTCATGTAAATAGAACTTCATGGGAAGCAGTATTCAGAGTCATGGTTACCCAAAGTTATAATCATGTAGTGAACTGGAATGCATTCAGTATATATCATAATTCTTTCTACAGTTTGCCCTGACTATACAAACTCTTCTGCTTAACTTCCTGAGGAAAAAGAACACCGGCACTTTGTTGGTTATTTGCAGAACTGCTTACCCTAGGGGCTTTAGTAGGGGAGGAGGGTTGTTTACAAAAATGAAAAAGAAAAAAAGTCATTTTAGTGTGTAAAAGCACTTTCAGTTCTTGTAGGAGACATTCACACTGCAGATGACTTACATTATCTATTTTGTTTTCATCCGTATTGAAGGACATTCATATCTATATATTCTTGTGTGCAAATGTAGGAGATCCAAAACTATTCTCTGTGATTGCTTGGATTGTTAATCTCTCCAGGGTTCCCTCCACATTCTCAAAAGCAGTTTCTGGCACCAAAGGGAAAATGGAGAAGTTGAGATGCAATTTTATCTCCCAATTGAACTTGATTAAATGGGGACTGCTCTAATCAAAAGTTTGAATCCTGGGGGAGTGCAGTGCTGTTAACAGGTTTGAGGATATTTGAGAGGAACAGAGAGGAAGAGTACTAAAGTTAAGACAGAGAAAGAATCAGGGGAGAAAATAATTGTAGTAAAGCTTATTAAGGCATAAAATTAGGTGAACAAATTGCTTCACAGATAGTGTTAAGCTCATTGCTAGACTGGCAAAGGAGGTGGAAGAAAGCTCTTTGAAAACATTATTTTTATTATTTTAATAATTTGTGTAGGAATCATAGTAGCTGCAATCTGTTAGCCAGAAACAATTGCCAGCTGGTGTCATCGTGGAGTAACTACAGTAGGCTGAATGCAAACATGTTTTTCCTTTTTACCTGGAGTGCATTCAGTTTTAGAAAGTTTCTATTCATTTTCGCCTGAATGTGAGGCCTGCCCTTGTAGATAAGGAATCCTGCTTGTTGAGTGACTTAAGAGCTCTGATTAGGTTCACACAATGTTCCACATGGGTAAGGAAGGCCACACCTGGGACAAGCTGTGTCTACACAACTGACGTTATGGTTATCTGCCATTAAAAGGGAATACGTATCTGGGTACATGCCTGAATTATCTGTGTAATTGCCCTGATGCTATGCGTTGTTTTTCGTATGGTTAACTCAAGGAAATGGTCATACTCCAGTAGCTATTATACTGAAACAAAAACAGATCTTCTGAGATAATATTCTTTGGGGTCACTCTGTGGGTTGGTGGTTAAGCAGCTGGATCCCACATGGCCAAGTGCATCGCCAGAGCCCAAGAAGGCGGCTTGAGAAACACACTGGGCATGTCCAGAATCCTGAAGTGGGGGAAATGGAAGAGAAGAGATTGCAGCTTGACCATTCTCCACAGGAGATGCTTTCTCGCATCCCTTTTTCTTTTGGACTTTCTGGCCAGTACATGCACCCTTTAACACCCCCCTCTCCCAAACAGCAGCAACAACCAAACCTTACCAAGTGTGAAGTGTGCACTTGTTTATGGAAATGTATTTTGTTGGCTAAATAGATATCATATTGTTATATTTCTTTTCAAATCTGCTTAAATGATTTTTAAAAACAATCTTGTGATCATTTTACAATTGCTACTGTATTTCCTGTTTATCTGGACACTCAGACTGGGTGCCAAAATACTACAGAATGTAGAATTAATCAGGTTTGGCTAAAAAGCCCGGGTGAAAGGAGAAACAAAATCTTTTATTCTATTGACTTTCTTTTGACTCTTCCTGCCTCTTGACTCAAGGGTCTCAAGAGAGGAGAGAGGAGGGAACAGCAGGTGGCATGGCGGTTAAGGCAGCAGATTCCCACTTGAGTGACCATGGTCTGAGTTCTAGACCTGGTAGCTTGCTTTCTCACTTTCCCTCTATCTCTCTTTGGTCATCTTAAAAAACAATGATAATAAATTAAGTAATAAAATCTAAGAAAAGGGGGGGAAGGAGAATTTATGGACTCTATTGTTGCTCATTGGATGTAAATGAACAACAATAACATGTAAATGTATATCAGGAATGTTAGTGGCTTCTAATCTTGGAATTGCTCTCACCTAGCTTTCCTTGGTTCAGTTTCCTCATCTCGGAAATGGGCTATTACACTTCTCTTATCTCCTGAGAGTATTGTTCTGAGAAGCAAATAAAATAATGGCTAGGAAAGCACTTTCCACTCTACAAATTACTGCTAGCACTCTGGTAGTCTATTTGGATAGCTAACAGGTTATAGTTATCCTTAAGATCTAAAGCAGTTTTGTAGAAAATGAGAAACTTCTCAAATAAGGTAATAGAAAAAGGTGTAGAGAATTTTTTTTTTTACTTGACTAAAGCAAAGGCACATGTACTTAAAATATTTAAGTAACACCATTAACTAGATGCATTCAGAAAATAAACGTTGGGTTTTATTGGGGTTTTCTTTTATCACAATTTCTTGCTCTGGAGTGGAGTGTGATGCCATTAATAGGATTTTAAGCTTCAGTGAGAGGAAAAAAAAAAAAGAATTAAATAAGCTTTAAAGAAGCTGATTCATCTCTCCTAACACCTCTCTGTCTAATATAGACCCCTACAGTATCAGGAAGGACACTGTCTGTGGTTGTTTATAGAACTGAAAACAGGAAAGGAAGCCAAAAAGCAATGCTTTGTTGAGAAGAGTCGCACCTGTCTAGTACAATAAAAATAACTTCCTATGGCCAAGCTTTAGCTAGCATTGCTGAAAAAGATCCAGATCCTAACTGATGGCTGCAAAGGAGACATAATGGAAGAGACTGGCACAGTGTCTCAGAAAGAACCAGGTACTACATGGATCTGTGGAGACCAGCTGGGGAGGTGGGCCATTATGAAGGCCTGGAAGGCCAGGTGTGGAGGACTGTAGCAGGTGTGATAGCCAGGAGGGAAACCAGAAGCACACTACTTTGTCCCCACCTTGAACGCACCATGACTCTCCACTTGGAAAACAGATCAGGCCAGTGTGGGACGAGACTGGCCATTTAGTTACTCCTATCTGATGGTACATCCATCCATTATCCAAAAAATAGAAGTTATTAAGCAAAGTTTTGTCTCCGTGGTAAATGCAAAAATCTGTATTTTTGAAAAAGTTTTCAAAAGCATCTGCAGACAACGCTTAATTTATGAAATATAGGTAAGTGTAGGTCTTAATCCACACTAGTGGAAAGAAGTGAGTCTCGAACATATATAGGGGCTGAATGCATATTAGCAGAAGGAATTTTAGGAGGCAACCCCTAAATTCCTTTGGTATTTTAAGTGTTGTTGAGAGCTGGACTCTCTGGTGCTAAAAGAAGCGAAGCATGCGTGAACATTGCCTGATACACGGTAGGCGCTTAATGAACAATAAAATAGATGCAGGTTGAATAAAAATACAGAGTTAGACACACCAAGTTCGTAGTTAAAAAGGACAGGAATAAAACTTGAGCAACAGAATGTCTGAGAAATTAAAACCAGTTTGGAAACGATTTCCCCTCCTCCTGGGGAGGAACCAGACAACTCATGAGAAGTCTGGTCTAGGTGAGTTTTTCAAACGCTGTGCAGGTGTTGTTTCGGGGGTGGGGAGGAGAGACAGACCAGGTGTCTGTTCAGTCAGAGAGAGCGAGCGAGAGAGAGGAGGAGAGAGAGAGAGAGAGGCAGAACGAGCTGCCGATCTGGAGTTCTCGATCAGCACCCGCGACGCTTTCCTCGGGGACTCTCTTCGCAGCACCTTTGCCTTTCCGCCTCGCCCCAGGCAGAAGGGATGCACACCCCCAGCTGCCTCCTCCGAGCTCGGCAGAGCAGCGGACTCCTCCCCTGGAAACTCCTCCGGGGCTGGAGAACGCTTTGGCGCATGCTCCGTACCTAGGGCAGGTTTTTGCTGCGGGTAGCAGGGCTCCTGTCATACCGGC